CCCCAGGGCAACAGTGGGTGTGTGATTTTTGGGGGGCAGGCTGCTATGTGATCTGATGGTGAATTTGGGGTGGCCCAATGCAAAGATCCTGAGGATCCATGTGGATCCATGCTTTTTAACCACATTTTTGCACCATTGCAGCCCCAGGCAACAGCGGGTGTGTGATTTTTGGGGGGCAGGCTGCTATGTGATCTGATGGTGAATTTGGGTGGCCCAATGCAAAGATCCTGAGGATCCATGTGGATCCATGCTTTGTAACTACATTTTAAGTGGGGAGTGAAGGAAAAACACAGAAGGGACAAGAGAGCGGTGTGCAGAGAAGCAGCTGGCTAAGAAAGCAGGAGAGGGATTTAACGGGAGGGAGGAAAGAAAGGCAAAAGTTTCCCCAAACCGAAGCCAGCTCTCTCTCTCCTCCTGCATGTTTTCTGGGCTGCCTGCGAGGAGCACGGAGAGGAATTAGAAGGAAAGACCTCTGCTTTCCCCTCTGCTTGCCTGGAGGGGAGGGGATTTGCCTGCTCTTTGTTCCGTTTGAGCAAACACAGCAACGAAACAGAGGAGGGTGGGCAGTAAGACCCTGAGGCAGAATGCAGGAAAGCAACCACTTCCTCTTTTCAGGTTTCCCTCTCCGACGCAACGCACGATTTGATTTTTGCTGATTTTTGTTCCTGCGCTCCCCTAATCGGCTCCAGGGACCCCCCACATTCCCTCCATAACACGCACAGACATTTCCCCTTCCTTTTTAGGAGAAAAAATCTGCGTGTAATAGAGAGAAAAATACGGTATATACATTATTAAGCCCGGGAGGAGGGAATCCGCTGCAGCCTCGAGCAGCGAAGAGGATCCATGGGTCCCCTTCTTCCCTCCTCCGTGGCTGCTTTGAAGCAGGAAAGTGGGAGAGGAGCTGCTTACACGAGTGTAAGCTGCTCCCCTCCCACTTTGCTGCTAGCGAAGAGGATCCATGGGTCCCCTCCTTCCCTCCTCCGTGGTTTTTGAAGCAGGAAAGTGGGAGAGGAGCTGCTTACACGGGTGTAAGCGGCTTCCCTCCCACTTTGCTGCTTCAAAGGGAGCCTGGGAGGAGGGAATCCGCTGCAGCCTCGAGCAGCGAAGAGGATCCATGGGTCCCCTCCTTCCCTCCTCCGTGGTTGCTTTGAAGCAGGAAAGTGGGAGAGGAGCTGCTTACACGGGTGTAAGCGGCTTCCCTCCCACTTTGCTGCTTCAAAGGGAGCCACGGAGGAGGGAGGGACCAACGGAATCCCCTTCCCTCCCTCCTCCCCGCCTCAGCTCAGCAGCCGCGGCTCTTGCTGGCTTTACAATGAGCCGGAAGGAGGGACAGACCCGCCTCCCTGTAAAGCCAGCCAGAGCCGCAGGCACACTCTACACAGCTCTTGCTTTAAAGGGAGAGCTGCGCAGAGCTTGTCGGCAGCAGCGGCTCTTGCTGGCTTCGCTCCATAAGACGCCCAGACATTTCCCCTTACTTTTTAAGGGGGGAAAGTGCGTCCAATGGAGCGAAAAATACGGTACTATACCCAATTGCTGACACAGCTTGATTAACACAACTCAGCAGAACCTGCTATGTTTCACAGCTGTAAGAGTGGGTTTCGTTACTTGCCCTGGCCCTTAAAGATATACACAACTTGTGAAGCAACAATGAACCTTCACATTTTAAAGTGACCATTAAACAGTTTTTATCCTATGCCTGTTTCTTTGTCCTCATTTGCTCTAACAGTTATCGGTTAAAAATAAATAAATCCTAACTGCTACTTTATTTATATGCTCTTTCTTTTTTTTTATCCTGGTCTGTGACCATAATAAAGTTCATACAAGTAGGTTCCAGGGTTAGGTCCCCTGGCCATGGCAACCTAGACTTACCTCCATTTGTTGTTGCTGTCTAGTCGTGTCCGACTCTTCGTGACGCTATACTCAAGTCTTTAAACGTGTCCTGGCTCCTCACCTCCGTGCAACGTGAGAAACTCTGTCGCAACAGGTTGGCACACCTCTGCCCACCTCAGGATGCTGAGGAACTGAGGAACCTCAAACGGTCCCAAGCTCCGTTGCTAGGCAACGGCAGTTGGGAACATGGAATTCCCGGCCTCAGTGCCAAGGTTCTAGGAGAGGCCGTGTGGCCTAGTGGTTAGAAAACGTTAATGCCATGCAACACTAGGGTGATATATATATATATTCTTTGAAATGTACAGTTTAATACTTTTTCTATTATTTGTATCCTGCTTTGCAGACTCTTGTTGTCTCCTAAAGAAGCTGACAGGATTGAACCCCTGTACTTACTTATGTGTTTGCCGTGTACATTTATGAACGTTTATTTTATATTTGGGACCTTTGAATTCTGAACTCTGAACTCTGGATTAATAACATTTTAGGAATCTTCCAGAACGGCTGATTCTATTGCTGGGAAGGACTCAGTGACAGACTGGGGTTTTAGGAGAGGGGTGGTATGGGGTTGGGGGCAGGTGAGATGGAGGTGCTTGGCAGTGGGTGTGTCGTATGCAGAAAGCATACTCTTCAATTCCCATGAACCACCTCCTTTCAGTTACTGGTTTCTTGGGGTTGGGGCTAAATCCATGATCGGTCAGAGAAAAATGAGCGGCGGCAGGAACCAGTCAAAGCAAGGCAGATCTTAATTTTACTGTTGCGACAGAGTTTCTCACCTTACGTGTTGCATGGAGGTGAGCAGCCAAGACAAGTGTGTGTAACAACTTTTAAAGACTTGAGAAAATGCCAATAATTATAATAATAACTTACTTTTTATACCCCCCCCCAATCTGGCTGGGTTTCCCTTAGCCCAGAGGTTTTGGACTTTCTTGAGTCCACGGCTCCCTTGACCAACTACATTCGTTTTGGAAGTCGAACGGTCTTCAGGAACGGATTACGTTTCAAAAACTGCTGTATTTGAAAAAAGTGATTTGTGCGTCTGCATCTAATCTTGCCCCTTTCTAAAATGTATTCATTGGCGTGTGCTTCTCTTTTTGTCAATTGACCAAAAAAGAAAGCCGGGGTGAAGGGTTTTTCTCAGGAGGGCGTTTGTGCTGCATCCCATTGGTGTGGTCGTGGTGGGAATGCTCTGCTGGGATGGGTTGGGGAACAAAAATGGGGGTTGGGGATGAGGAGGGTCAGTTGAGTGGGGAGTGACAAATGCCCCTCTTTTCATCTAAGGAACGTTGGAGGGTATGGCTGGGTGATGGCTTCAGGGTGGGGTTTGAGGGAGGCTCTGGATTTTCCGCCCAGGCCTCTCCCTCCTTGCCCTGTTGCTCTGTCCTGACAGGGTTCCTTCCTGATGCTGCAGGTGGGATTTGAGGAGGCCGCCGCAGATGTCTCTGAGGAAGTGCCGTCCGCAGATGTCGAACAGAGGCCCCTATACGTGGAGGCCAAGCAGGAAGATGCAAGTGAGGCCCAACTGGCAGGGAAGTAGGGCCGGATTTAGAGTCGTGCCCCCTGGATCATGCACCTTCATTGTATTGCTCCCATCACAGGCTGAAGACACCACCACTTTGGCTTCGCGTGTGCAGAGGAGGGCAACTAGGATGATCTAGAAGCTAAGCCTAGATGACCCTCGGGTCCCTTACAACTCTATGATTCTATGATCCAAGAGACACGTTTTTCAGGTCACAGCAGATCGCTGTGACTGTAAGTTGTTTTGAACTGCTTTTAGCATTGATTTTTTTCCCTTTATTACGGTCCAGAGACCCAACAAATTGTTACAAAGCAATGCACAATTCAGACAGCCTACCTCCAGGTTAAACAAGCATTTTGTTCAGACTTAAAGACAGGGATCATTGGTTCTTGCAACCACCGATAAAAACTTTGCCACTGCTAATGTTCTAGCGTTTGTCCGGTCTTCCAATAGGAACCTGACATAATGAGCCTCTGATTTTCCCAGGAAAGGTACCAGCAAGGGTAATATCAGTTCAGCCTTGGCTTGCTCATGTTTCGCAGCAAAATATGTTTTATAGAATCGATGTCTTGAGCACATGAGCAAAGTCTGTCCTGGTAGGGAACTCCTCTCAACCTGCCATCCAACACTGCAGAAGGAAAGACGTTTAGTCTGGCTTTGGTGAACAACCTTAGATAATTTGGTACTGAATTTTAAATTTCTGTAGTCCACTGAGGGACGTTAGGGTGAAGAAATCAAATTAAGAGAAGTAAGAGAAATAACCTTCTTTTTCTCATTTATTCAACAGGTAAAAGGTGGGTGGACATACCTGAGGGAGAGAGATACACACCTGAAGATGTTGAGGGGTTTTCCGGAGGGAGAGCAGAGGAGGAGAACTTTTCCTCGTCCTCTGTCGTCCCCTTCTCCTTGTGCCCTCCATCTTTCCCAACATCAGGGTCTTTTCCAGGGAGTCTTCTCTTCTCACGAGGTGGCCAAAGTACTGGAGCCTCAGCTTCACGATCTGTCCTTCCAGTGAGCACTCAGGGCTGATTTCCTTCAGAATGGACCGGTTTGATCCTCTTGCAGTCCATGGGACTCTCAAGAGTCTCCTCCATCACCAGAATTCAAAAGCATCAATTTCCCAACTCCTACTTGCATGCAAGCAGGAGCGGGGCGGGGATCTCTCAGCTGTGAAGGGAGGCGTCACGCTGCCTATCGGAGCTTGTGTGCAAGCAGGAGGGGGCAGGATCTCTCAGTTAGGCAACGGGAAGCCTCCCTTTCCAGCTGAGGGATCCCTGCTCCCTCCTGCTAGCACGCAAGTAGGAATGGGATTGGGGCTGCTCCGATGGGATGGGAGGCATCGTGCTGCCTGAGCCTCGCCGCTGCTGCTGCTCTTGGCCCTCCTCCGCCTTGTATGCCAGACCCACTGCGCACTGCTTCCCAACCACCACCACCGAAGAACGTACAACTTAGGGCCTGCCCAGGCTCATGGAGAAAGGAGAAGGGGAAACATGGCGGTTGAGGTCAAGGCGGTGGACGCCCCTCTGCCAGCCCACCGCCATCGCTGCAGTAGCAACATCCCAAATGTGTAGTAAGTATGTATGTATCTATGTATATATGTATAGGGTCCCCAGATTCATTGAAAAAAATCTGGTAACCTTAGTCTGGACCGCTTTGTTTCTTGACTAAAACGTTGACGGGTATTTCAGGTGCCAGGGGCCTTCCGAGAGGCTGCTGTGACCTTCGCTGGAAATGTGGAGGCATCGCCGGAAACAACCCAGAGGCAGCTTGGTGGGGAGTTCAAGCGGGGAAATGAGGGGGTCTCCAGCGTGCTGGGTAAGGGCTCACCCCCCGCCGTGAATTGTCGTTTCAAGTAGGTATAATGCCCTGATGCAGGGAATCACCAACATGGGGTGCTCGGCCCCTTCTGTGACGCCCATGAAAGGTCTCAGTAGAGAAACCCCTCAAAAATCCACAATCCACAACAGACTTGTTTCTTCTTCCTGCTCAGTTCCTGTTTGCATTGACTTAGCCATTCCTACATAGATAGCTTTTTGGCTCCACGAAGCTGATTGGCCTTGAAGATGAAATTTAGCAGGTGGGCGGGGACACTCCCTGTCAATCACCTGATGTCGCAATAACATCAGAAGGAAGGTGCCGCTAAAACGAAAGTGTTTTCCCTCCCTCCTTCATTTTAAGCGGGGCGTTCTGACGCAAACACCATCCTGTTTCACATCTGGTCTAACCCCACCCCCCAGTCTGGGTGAAAGAACATGATTTGCAAATGAGAGGTTCTTTCTGCAGCTTAACTTGTTGCACCCCTAGCTCATGGGATCATAGAATTGTAGCTTTGGAAAGGATTTTGAGGGTCATCTGGCCCAAACACCCGCAATGCAGGAATCTCAGCTGAAGCATCCATGACAGATGGCCTTCTAAAAACCTCCAATGAAGCAGGTTGATTTTATTTATTTATTTATTTATTTATTTATTTATTCATTCATTCATTCATTCATTCATTCATTCATTCATTCATACATACCCCGCCCATCTGGCTGGGTTTCTCCCGCCACTCTGTGTGGCTTCCAACAGAATATTAAAATACAATAGTCTATTATAAAAGCTTCCCTAAACAGGGCTGCCTTCAGATGTCTTCTAAAAGTCTGGTAGTTGTTGTTCTCTTTGACATGTGGCGGGAGGGCATTCCACAGGTTGGGTGCCACTACCGAGAAGGCCCTCTGCCTGGTTCCCTGTAACTTAGCTTCTCGCAGGGAGGGAACTGCCAGAAGGCCCTTGGCGTTGGACCTCAGTGTCCGGGCAGAACGATGGGGGTGGAGACGCTCCTTCAGGTATACTGGGCTGAGGCCGTTTAGGACTTTTTTTGTTGTTGTTGTATAAGATATTTATTGAGGGGAAGTAAAAGCCCATGGATCCTCAGCATTTTTACATTGGGTCACCCCAGATTCACCATCAGATCACATAACATGTCCATGGCTACAGCCTGCACCAAAAATATCACGCACCCACTGTTGCGTGGGGCCGCAATGGCGCAAAAACATGGTTACAAAGCACGGATCCACATGGATCCTCAGGATTTTTGCATTGGGCTACTCCAAACTCACTGTCAAATCACATGTCTGTGGCCACAGCATGAACCACAAAAATCATACATCCACTGTTTCGTTCAGAATCCCCCCCCCCCCGTTTTCCTCCTCTAAAAACTAGGTGCGTCTTATGGAGCGAAAATACGGTAAATATTGCCTTCAGACAGATGGGTGGGGTACAAATAAAAAAAATTATCATCCTCATCATCACTCGATAACCCTCTCCTCCATGAATTTGTCTTTTTTAAAATCAGTGGCTGTTGGTGCTTCTTGTGGCAGTGAGTTCCACAGTTTAACTGTGAAATACTTTTTTTTGGTCCAACGTTCGGCTTCATTGGATGTCTGGCATTATGGGAGCGCGAGAAGCACGTTATCAGTGTTCCCCACGGCTTGCGTTTCCTTTTCCGTGCCACGCATTAGTTTTCCCTCCTAAAAATAAAATAAATGTGACAAGCAGCCCATAAGATGGACCGCGCATAATTTTATAAAGTTCTGCCTCGTTGCCTCTTTCTCACATTTCCCTCTAAACCAAAAAAATCCCCAAATGTTGAAACCTCTCCGCATGTGGGAGACGTTCCGACTTTGGCTGGTGTTTCCTGAAACTCTTCCCAACTCCACGATACCCTTTTGGGAGGGTGGGGACCGCATGGGGAGAGCAGTGTTGTTAGCAGAAATATGAATCACCCCACACTTAGTCCTTTTGCAATTTCTCTCTTTGTTGGAAGCTGCCTTAAAGGTAAAGGGACCCCTGACCATTAGGTCCAGTCGTGACCGACTCTGGGGTTGTGGCACTCATCTCGCTTTATTGGCCAAGGGAGCCGGCGTTCAGCTTCTGGGTCATGTGGGCAGCAGGACTAAGCTGCTTCTGGCGAACCAGAGCAGCGCACAGAAACGCCGTTTACCTTCCTGCTGGAGCGGTACCTATTTATCTACTTGCACTTTGATGTGCTTTTGAACTACTAGGTTGGCAGGAGCAGGGACCGAGAAGTGGTCAGCCAGATGGGCGGGGAACAAAAGAATAAATAAATATGATAATTCCAGATCCAACACAATTAGCCTTCCTCCCCTGTCTAGCCACCGCCGGTATGAAATTGTGTCTTCATTTTTTCTTTTTTTAAAAATCATTTTTATTGATTTTCCAATAAAAATAGCCAATCAAGATACCCGAATCATAATCCAATTAAAAATAATAAACTAAAAACAAAACAACCAAATTGTAGTTATTAATTTTTACAGGCTCCCTATAGTCTGGACCTCTGAAGCATATCTCCAAATTTTCTTCCTGCCTCTTCTCGTTGCTTTCATATTTTCCTCCTTCTGATCTTAACGCTTTAAAGTTCTCCATCCCTGGCTATGCCAAACTGCAAAATGTGCTCTCTGTTAGGGAGTGTTGTGTATTGAGTCAAAGGACTTTATATCTGTTTTATTAGTGTCTGTATTTGCATTAGGGTAAAGTAACTGCCCTTTGGTTCCAGAGGGTACAGCTACTATTGGTTCATTTAAGCTGCTGTATTTGGATCCTCTGTCTTATTGGTTTCCTCCAAAAGGCAGGACTGTGATTGCCTGATATTGTTCCCTCCAAAATGTATCCTTTCTAGCTAGTTCCCTGTCCCTATAAATGTAGCTCTCCCCTCCTCAGGTCTTAAGTCTTGTTTGCTTTAATATAGACGCGCCAGCATATACAACAGGGAGAACACACTTTCCAGGAAGGGAAACTCCCAGGAGCTGAAAACTGAAAAAGCGAAACTTAAGGGACTCTTCAGCACGAGGGAGCCATGGCTGCTGCAGGGGGTCACATCCAGCGTCTCCGTGATGAAGCCACTTGCCCCATCTGCCGAGATTACTTCAAGGATCCAGTGACCATCCCAGAGTGTGGGCACAACTTCTGCCGATCCTGCTTGGCCCAGTGCTGGGGGGAGGCAGAGGCTTCCTGCCCTCAGTGCAGAAAAAGAATCCAGAGAAGGAGCCTCGTCTGCAACTGGCAACTGGCTAATATGGTGGAAATAGCCAAGAATCTCGGCTTTCAAGAGGGAAAGGAGGAAGGAGGGAAAGGGAGAATCTGCGAGAAGCACCAGGAGCCCCTGAAGCTCTTCTGCAAAGTCCATGAAGCCCCCATCTGCCTGGTGTGTGACAGATCCAAGGAACATGAAAATCACAAGGTGATTCCTCTGGAGGAGGCTTCCGAGGAATACAAGGTAGGAGATCCCTGGATCTGGAGGGGGAGAAATAAATAGCTGTGGATTCTTCTTGGGAGGTTTTCTTTTGAATTCTCAGGTCCAAAGTAGCCATGGCATGAATTGGTCATTGTTTATCACCTTGGAAGCAGCCCAGGGGAAACCAGAGGGCTCCTGGGGTGGCTGGAGGGGGGAGTTGAAGTCTTTCTCTCTGCCAGGGGGACAAGGGGATCTTGAAAGATTTGAACTGGGACCTTGGCAGGGAGAGAAAGGGTTAACCTCGTCCACATCCCCCTGAAAGGTTGCTATGTACGCCTTAAGAACAGTACAAATGTAAATGGCACATACACAACTAAGTACATGTCTCCTCAATGCCCTGCAAAACAGAGAGCAGCAAGGGATCAGCTGGGGGCGGGCGGGGACTGTTAGCCAGGAGTTGACCAGATGGTGCAGGATCCCACCCCCCAAGTATCTGTTGGAAGCAGATTTGGGAGTGGAAGGAGCTACTGGTGGCTTAATCTGGGGGTGCTGTGGAGCCTGTGCAATGAGGTTTCAGCGGGGGTGGGGGGGCTGAGGATCTCCTCCCACCCCAAATGGCAAAGGACTCCGTGGTTCAGAGTAGCATCTGCAAAGACCAGGGGGAAAGATGACTTTTTCATGGCAACTCGGAATTGGACATGTGCAATTATATACTATATATAATGCCTTTTAATTCCTTTTTAAAAATCACTTGTTCTACTAAAAAGGTAAAGGTACCCCTGCCCGTACGGGCCAGTCTTGACAGACTCTGGGGTTGTGCGCCCATCTCAGTCAAGAGGCCGGGGGCCAGCGCTGTCCGAAGACACTTCGGGGTCACGTGGCCAGTGTGACAAAGCTGCATCTGGCGAGCCAGAGCCGCACACGGAAACGCCGTTTACCTTCCCGCTAGTAAGCGGTCCCTATTTATCTACTTGCACCCGGGGGTGCTTTCGAACTGCTAGGTTGGCAGGCGCTGGGACCGAACAACGGGAGCGCACCCCGCCGCGGGGATTCGAACCGCCGACCTTTCGATCGGCAAGCCCTAGGCGCTGAGGCTTTTACCCACAGCGCCACCCGCGTCCCTCTTGTTCTACTACAGTGGTGCAAAAATGCTCCTGTGCCATGCAGTGCTACTAATGCCACGAAATAGTAATAATAGTGGGGGAAAGCTGGTCCCTTTGAATTGGCAGGATGACTAGGCAGCAATCTTCTGACCGAAGGAGCTGCCTGGCTGGATTCTGGCCGCAGCCAGAACTTCTTTGGCCCAGAAATGGAAGAAGCTGCAGCACTTAAATCTCCCCTGGTTGCCCAAGCACACTTGGGGTCTGGCTACTGCAGAGAAAATAACTGACAAATAGCAGAAAACCTGAATTGCTATCTGACCCGAAAGAGGGGTTTGGAATGGGTGAAGTTTTGAGAAGCGCTGCTCTATCTCTGCATCTCTCGCCTCTTGGGCTGACCTCACTAGTATCTCTTTGACGCTAGACTGATACATCCCAGGTTGGATCCTGCCTTAGCCCTTCCTCCTCCTCCTCCTCCTCCTCCTCCTCCTCCTCCTCCTCCTCCTCTTCCCACTTCTCCCTGAGACCTCAAGGTGAGAAGTCAGGCTGGGACTCCCAAGGAAAGGAGAGGAGGCTGAGAGATCACTCCACAAGGGAGGGTGTTTGAGAAAAGGTGAGGGGCTGCCAGCTCTGCAAGGAAGGGGGACCTAACTGAGATCCTGAGCCCCACAGGGCTGCCGCAGAAAGAAGGTAGTTGACCCATGGAGCCGTGGACCCCAAAAGGCTGAAAACCTCTGTGCTTTTATTTCCTCCAGGAAACTACTTTGCTATTCTAGCAAGGCCACTGGGCGCAAGAAGCCATTGTGATTTCCATCTCTCTGTGTGTCTCAATCAAAGCTGAGTTTTTCCTTTTCTCTTTAGGGAGAGATCTGTCACCACCTGGAGATTCTGAGGAAAGAGAGAGGAAATTCTGGCCTATCGAGCAGATCTGGACAAGGAAAGCAAAGACCTCCTGGTAAGTGTCTCTATTGTTACTCGACAGGGAACAAGCACTTGAGACCTCCAGGTATAGGGCAGTATATAAATTCAATAGAGAAGAAGAGGAAGAAGAAGAAGAAGAAGAAGAGAGTCAGGACTGAGGAGGGATGGAGAAATCTGCCCGTTTCAGCTTCTCCTCATTTCTCCTTTTTCCACATCAGTCTGTTATGAATCAGATGTTAGGGTAGCTACCTCCTTGTATAAATATTTTGATCTGTACTTTACCCTCATAAATACATTTTTTGTGAATATTACCTGGCTGGGTCCAGCTTGAAAATATCAGAATTTTAAAACTCTGTTTTGGTCTCCGTATTTTTTCAGCAAGAGCAAATTAGGTAATGTTACGGAAAAATCCCGGGTGCGGAGTTGTCCTGTCACCCAGCTCGTCGGACAAAGTCCGCGGGTCCTAGCGGAGAAAATAAGCTCAGCCGGACGCAGGAGCAAGATGCGGAGATCCGAGGTTTATTGCGCAACAGGTTCAAGACGAGATTGAACCCCGAGAATGGGGCGACATAACTTTTAAAAGTTCCCTCCGAGTCCCAGAATACAGTGCAAGAAACGTAATGAATACATTATGGGAAGGTTGGGTTTCACGAGTTGCATCATGAATACATTACACACGTCATGAATATATTAAAGAAAGGTGGGGTTCCACTAATTAACATTTTAGATAAGGGGGGGACATGCAGAGTGAGAGATATGCATAGATAAACATTTCTTGAGTACCGGTGGGTGGCAAGACAATAGTCCAGAGATATGCATCGTCTGCCACCTAGTATTGCCCGGAGGAAAGGTTAGGCGGAACGATTTGACAGGATTAGGAAGTTCCTGTGTACGTGACCTGCCGTTTCGGGGATTATGGAAGTAGGGGTAGCATCATGGAGTCCAAAGGGAGCTGAGTTGAACGGCACCAAGAGCGAGGAAATCGGAGTTACGGTTGATTTTATATCAATTTCCAAAGGTTTCCGTATTTTCCAGCCTATTTCGTATTGCTGATCAAAAGCGGAAACAGAATGGATACATTGTAACAGAATGGATACATTGTAGCAAGACTTTGACAGTTTTACGAGGTCCGGGGTTTCGATTCCATTGTTCTGGCAGTGGGGGCCGTCAGCAGCTTGTCAGGAGGTGAAATGAGGCGTGCAGTAGCTCCCTGAGCTAGCTTCTGCAGGGCGAATGCATGGCTGTGATTGGCTAAAACGCGGCCCATTATAGTGAATGGGGATACAATATGATACGGTCTACTCACGTTAGAAATAGGGCGAGAGGAAGGCATAAGAAAGATGGGGCTTATTTTGCCCGTATAAAGATAGGAAAAGAAAGCCTTTTATTCACAAGGCAGGGGTATAGGGGGTATAGTGTAGTGCTTGTGCAACGGTGTGGGGGCTGAGGGTTCTAGGCAGAGCTGGGCACTGTCGAGGTCATCGCCTCGGACCCCTTCAGAAAGTGGTGGGGAGGGGACAGGTACCCCCCCCTTCCTCCTTCCGTATCAGGTAAGTTCACCTTTGAATGCAGCTAAATTGTGTTTATTTCCCCTTGTCCTTTATTATGTGAATAGCAGTCAAGGAGAAGCTTGAGGACTTGTGAGCTGAAAGGGTGGAAGCAATTCAATCCAAATCCTGATTTACTATAAATATTACTAAAGAACTGAATTCTAAATGTGCTCTCTTGTTCATTTTTAGGAAACTCAGGCTTTTTTTAAACCTTTAAAGGAAACAGGGGAGCTCTGGGGATGAACTCTGCACTTTGTCCTCCTCTGTTTCTGTTTCTTCCTACACCTAAATGGCCCCAGTCTAAACTGAGGGGTGTTTTATGTCTCTGATGTTCTCTGAACAACTGTGAACTCTGGTTATGCCATGCCCCAAAACATGCAGGGATAATCCATGGCTAGGAAAAAAGAGCTCCTTCCTTTAGGCTGTATCCGTCTGCAAATAGAAGTCAACAGAAACAGCAATGGAGAGGGCCTCCCCTCAAAATATAGGTTTACTTCTTTAGCCACTGGAGGTTTCATGTCTATAGAAAAATCAGAAGTGTCCTTCCTCCCTGTGGAATTCTCATAATTTTCTTTCTGCTGTTTCGAGGCTAAGCACATGTTACGGAAATTACGGGGGGGGGCACATCTTTAAAGTTAAATATTACAAATATTATGCCTGAATATATCCTTCCAACTTGACAGCTCAGGAAAGTCACCTAGCTTTAAAAAATAATATAAAATCATCTCCTTTCCCAGTTCCCCCCATTCCAAAGCTATTTTCCCCTTGCAAAAGGACTCCAGGAAGTTCTCAGAGGTGACAATTGCTGGGCTCATTGTTAGCCAAGGGAAGCCAAATCTCATCACCCGACTCCCTCAGGCTCCAGACATGCAAAGGGACTTCTATTGTACTTTTGGGGTACTTAAGTGGGTACTTAAGACATATTTGTCTATGCTAATCTTATACCTGAGTCTTGCCCTGCCATGTCTGCTTATGCTAATCTTGTACCAAGGACTTGTCTGGACATGTTTGCCAAGGTTACCCCCTCCCCTTCGAACTGTATTCTGGGATGTGGTGGGAAAGTTTTAAAAGTCTTTGTCACCCCATCCTCAGGGTTCAAATTTGCTTTTTGAACCTATTGCGCAATAAACTTTGGTCTACAGCTATTTGCTCCGCTTGGCTGGACTCCTTCCTTTATTCCGCAGGGACCCGCAGGCTATGCCCACGAGCTGGGTGACTGAGCAGCCTCACACCTAGATTTTTCCCTAACAGCACCAAACAACACTCAGACTCCTCTTTTCTTGCAGAAATTAACAGAAACAGAGAGGCTGAAGATTTGTGGAAGAAGTTCAGAGAACTGCGCCAGTTCCTGGAAAGAACAAGAAAAAGGTCTGCTGAATCATATGGAAGAGGTGGAGAAGGAGATTGCAGGGAGAAGGGATGAGCAGCTGGCCAGACTCTCCAGGAAACTCTCCTCTCTTGAGAGGATCATCCAGGAGATGGAGGAGAAGCGTCCAGCAAGCCAGCGAGTGAACTGCTGCAGGTAAGATGGTGGCAGGAACAGCCCAAGGCTCCAGGAAACAGGCTGCCTCCAATCCTTTATGTGCCCTTTCATGTATGCAAGGAGTGCAGGGGCTCAGATGATGGAGCCTCTAGTCAGGTTTGTCATGGACAGGAAGACCCAAGAGACCTGGGATGCTTAACTCACCTGAATGCAGACTAGAGATTCTTCTGTGTTCTTGATGGAACAGGAGGTGGTTTTCTGCTCTTTGCTGATGATTTGTCTCCAAATGCCGCCTTCTTCTTGGCAATGCTGCCTTCCTGCCCTGGGCTGGGCTGGGCTTCAGCGAGGATGAGTTCAGGCCTCCTTCTGACATGAGCCAGTCTCTTGACCAAGCTTCTCTTCCAGTTCCCTCCACAACTTCTTGGTTGATCCCCTTCACAATGGATACAGAGCGGCCCAAAATGGTGCTCAGTCACAGTGACCAAAGAGCAAGACAGAGGGACTCATCCAGACTGCTGCTTCTCCACACCTTTCCTCCAGGAAAACCTGCTCTCTACTGCTGAATGAGAGCAAACCTCAGCCAGGTTTTCTCTGGATTGACGTTTGCTTAGATGTTGAACTAAGGAGCAGGTTTTTCCTGAGGGAAAGCGGCAGGGCAAAGGCAAAACTACTTGGACCCTGTGTTTTCTGGGCACAGGAAAAGCAGAAGTGTGGATGAGCCCAAAGAAACACTCAGCTATATAATAAATATAATTGTTGTTGTTTAGTCGTTCAGTCGTGTCCGAACTCTTTGTGACCCCCTGGACCAGAGCACGCCAGGCCCTCCTTTCTTCCACTGCCTCCCGCCAGTTTGGTCAGACTCATGTTTGTAGCTTTGAGAACACCGTCCCACCATCTCGTCCTCTGTCCGTCCCCTTCTCCTTGTGCCCTCCATCTTTCCCAACATCAAGGGTCTTTTCCAGGGAGTCTTCTCTTCTCATGAGGTGGCCAAAGTATGGAGCCTCAGCTTCACGATCTGTCCTTCCCAGTGAGCACTCAGGGCTGATCTCCTTAAGAATGGATACGTTTGATCTTCTTGCAGTCCAAGGGACTCTCAAGAATCTCCTCCAGCACCATAATTCAAAAGCATCAATTCTTCGGCGATCAGCCTTTTTGATGGTCCAGCTCTCACTTCCATACATCACTACTGGGAAAACCATGGCTGTAACTATACGGACCTTTGTTGGTAAGGTGATGTCTCTGCTTTTTAAGATGCTGTCTAGGTTTGCCATTGCCTTTCTCCCAAGGAGCAGGCGTCTTTTTAATAATAATAATAATAATAATAATAATAATAATAAAATATATTTTTGTCCCGCCCATCTGCCTGGGTTACCCAGCCACTCTGAGCGGCTTCCAACCAAATATTAAAAACAATACAGCATCAGACATTAAAAACGTCCCTAAGAAGGGCCGCCTTCAGTTTCCTTCTAAAAGTCAGATAGTTTTTTTACTTCCTTGACATCTGATGGAAAGGCGTTCCACAGGGCTGGTGCCACTACCAAGAGGGCCCTCTGCCTGGTTCCCTGGAACCTCACTTCTTGCAAGGAGGGAACCTCAGTGTCCGGACAGAACGATGGGGGTGGAGACGCTCCTTCAGGTACACTGGGCTGAGGCCATTTTAGGGTTTGAAAGGTCAGCACCAACACTTTGAATTGTGCTCGGAAACGTACTGGGAGGTGCTTTATTACCCCTTTGGAGGCATTTTATGCTGCAGGTGCTTTTCTTATTTCCAGTTGGAAAGTAGAATTTGAAATTTGGGGACTTCTATGGAAGACAATTTGGGACAGTTCTCTGGTAGGATTATCCTGTAGGCTTACTTACGTCTGAATTGCACAATGCAAACTGCATTAAAGTTAATAAATTATAATCTAAGACAAGAGATGGGATGGAATCTTCTCCTGAACCCACAAATATTTTCCTGATTAAAATTGTTGCCCGGGCAGATTTTTAAAATTTGGCATAATGTCCCAAGTTTTTTGGTTTGTTTTTGGTTTACATGAACGCACGGAATTTTCTAGTGTATTAGACTCAGATCTAAGACACCTTGCTTAGCTAGTCTGCAGCAGAGAATCACAACAGAATGCCGTATTGGCCCGAATATAAGCCGCACCCACAAATAAGCCGCACCTTTAAAATTCGGGGGGGGGGGAGAAAAAAGATAATACCCAAATATAAGCCACTCCTTAAATTGGGTTACAGGCTGAAAATTGCTGCCACAGGTACAAGTGTAACTCCGAGCCAATTTAAGCCTTTGCTCTTGCAAGCCACAAAAGTTACCGTGCAATCGCTAAAATCGCAATCACTATTCAGCTGCTACAATGCCGCAGGCACTCACACCTGTAAATGGCAAATGAAGTCTCAAAGCTCGCCAAATCGGCAATAAAAACTTTTTTTTGTTCCCTTTTACCGTATGTCTGTTCAGCAGCAATATCGTAAAAGGCAGTTTTTGTAAGGTCGCAAATTTAAGCCACACTTTAACTTTTCAAGGTCAGAATTGGGGGGGGGAAGGCAGCTTATATTCGGACCAATATAATAATAAAATAATAATAATAATAAATAATAATAATAATAATAATAATAATGCACCGTTTCTAATAAGGCTGCACCTAAGATAGCTCAGATGGCAGAGCATGAGACTCTTGAATCTCAGGGACGTGGGTTCCAGCCCCATGTCGGGTGAAAAATTCCTGCATTGCAGGGGGTTGGACTAGATGACCCTCGGGTCCCTTCCAATGCTGCGATTCTGCAAGGATTTGTGCAGCTGAAGAGTTAAACCCACAGAGCTGCAATGGCTAGAGTTGCAGGAGGAGGCAGGCTTGTGAAAGCCAGGAAGGGTTTTTCCTCCCTGGTTAGGGGGTGGGCCTTGGTTTTGAATTTCTTTTGCAGCTGGCATAAAAGGAGGAGGAAAGAAGGAGAGGAGGAGAAGACAGGAGGACAGTGTGCTAGACTGGGGCATGGAGGCGGAGAGGCAGGGAATTGCTGGAGGAGGAAAAAAGACCCTCTTTTGCAATCGCTCTCCCTCCTCTGGGTAGCAGGCAGGGGTCTCTCTGCTGCTGGTTTCCCCCTTCCAGAAGAAGCAAACTCTTTGAGCAAGCTGGGTCAAAGGGTACGTGGACAGCGCTTTTCTATGGGGTACTGGGGAGGGGCGGTAGAAGAGGGGGACGGCATGGGGCAGGGAGCCTCCTAAAACGAAGGGGGCCTGCCTGCTTGAGCCTCCTACAATTCCTGGGTGATGGGGGGGGGCTTCTGCAGAGCATCGGAGACCAAAGCGCATAGCAGCGTATCGTTAACCTCTGGAACTCCCCTCCACAGGAGAGAATAATAATAATAATAATAATAATAATAATAATAATAAAATTTATTTATACCCCGCCCTCCCCAGCCAAGACCGGTCTCAGGGCAGCTAACACCCAATATAAAAACAAATACAATTTAAAAACAAGGAGTTCCTGAAGACAATGGAGTCTCCTCTGCCCGGATCGGCGAGGCGGCCCCATGGGACGATGCCAAGGGCTTTCTGGCCTCCTTTGAGCGGGTGGCCCAAGGGAGAGTGGGCGGCCAGGCTGCTGCCAGCCCTCCGAGGAGGGGCCGAGTGGGCCTTTGGCAGCCTGGAGGCCAGCGACAGAGAGGATTATGGGGAAGTGAAGGCGGCCATCTTGCGCGGGGACACCACCGCCCAGGAGAAGCAGCGGCAGCAGCACTTCCGCCGCTTCTGCTACCAGGAGGCCGAGGGGCGAGGCCTATGGCCGCCTCCAGGAGCTCTGCCGTGGGTGGTTAAAAGTGGACCGGCACACCAAGGAGCAGGTTCTGGAACTGCTGATCCTGGAGCAGTTCCTGGCTATCCTGCCGCCCGAGGTCCAGGGCTGGGTCAGGGAGGCCGGGCCTGAGAGCTGCTCCCAGGCAGTGGCCCTGGCCGAGGAAGACCTCCAGGCGCAACGGGAAGCTGAGGGGCAGGAGCTCACATGCGCCTTGGGGCTGTGTTGCTGGGGGGCTCCTGGGGGGCTGATCCTGCCACTCCCTGGGTTGTTAACCAAGAGAGCGAAGCCTGTCCGTTTCATGCTGATTAAGGAGGGGAAGTCCAATTCTATGCCCCTAGCTCACTCAGGGAAACACTTAATCTCAGGGTTGCGGGTTCAAGTCCCGTTTGGGGGCAAAAGATTCCTGCGTTGCAAGGGGTTGGACTAGATGACCCTCAGGATCCCTTCCAACTCTATGATTCCTGTGCTCTTCTAGGCATACTCCCCAAGTGTCCCTTGTCTCCAATGACAGTTCTGGAATTATGAAAGCCATCCCAGCTTCTGATTTGATCCTGGACTGTCCCTAATTCCGCTGCCAGTGCCGAGATCGGGGAATAGTATGAGCTGGCCCTTGTCCCAAGCCATGGCGGCTGCGGCGGCTGTGAGAGGGCATCCTGTTGCCTCTCCATGGCCTCTCCACGGCCGCTGCTACCAGCTTCCTCCCTTGGGCAGCTGCTAGTGGCTGCTAGATAGCGGGTGGGGAGGAGAGGCCACCACCATTAAGGCCCTGTTTGACGCGCCAGCTCTGAGGGGGAGGCAGAGGACAAGAAGAAAGAAAGAAATATTTAGCTGGGAAAGAAGAAAGGGGGAGTGGAGCAGAGCACAAGGAATCTTGATTTTTGGACAGGAAACCTCAGTTTTCGAGCGTATCGGATGCTGAACGATTCGGAACCCGAACGCCGAAAACTCGGAAGCAATTCTTTTCGTTTCAAAGTCAAACGGCTTCCGAGTCACATTTCTCCATTTTTTCAAGGGATTTCACGCCCATTGCGCCTCGGCTGTCGAACGTTTTGGAAGTCGAACGGTCTTCAGGAACGGATTACGTTTCAAAAACTGCTGTATTTGAAAAAAGTGATTTGTGCGTCTGCATCTAATCTTGCCCCTTTCTAAAATGTATTCATTGGCGTG